GACATGCTGCAGATATACGAGAAACAAAGAGCTTACAGATTGAGGAAGTTCACGATTCACCAATAGGTCACAGATTATCTCATCCATCCTCTGCTTCTCTTGCTGAAACCTGACCTGATTCCTGCTTCTCTTATCACCCCCAATGATTCCACTCTGTCTTCGTCCTCGCTTCCCCACAGCTCTGCCTCATCACACAACAGGGTCCATTGTATTTGCTCAGATGCTTCAGGGTCCCAGGCCCAGCCTGCCTGGCTTCCTGTGCACGGCGTGTACGTCTAAGTTAAGAACAGCTGTCATATTCAACTGTCACATGCTGTCCATGCCACCATCCCTATCCCATCCCACACTCCCTCCCTCTTACTCAGACCTAGTTATTTGACATTCCTCCTTTTACAGCAACATTTCCTCTTCTTAAATTGAGGTTTGCTAAATTGCGCTGGCAAACATTTTAATAATGCCCTTTTGTTCCCTCGGTTCTTTTAATCTCCCACTTCATCCTTATTGTCCAGACAGAGTAGGAGTTGGGATTTCCGTTGGGATGAATCTGTGGAGGATTTGCTGAAGGTTGTAAAACACTCCTTTCTACACCTCTGTGGCATGTACAGCCTGCTTAGAACACTTTATTCTAATATACATGCTTTTATTATTGATCCATGAACTCTTATTGGCTTTATTCATGCCTTGGTATTCAGGCAGAATATGTTTATTATGTATAATTCCCCAAATCCCCTTTTTTGGGCTGAAAAAACATTTTCGGAGTAAATCTTAAAAACGAATTGGTAAATAAAGTTCTAACTCTTTAAGTCAGTTAAGGTACTTTTAATCTTTAACCTTATCAGGTGAGAGGAGGATCAGAACCTCCAAATCTGAGGCCATGGTTCTCCAACGAGAAAGGTGGACTCCCCTCTTCAGGTCGGTGGGGAGTCCTTGTCTCAAGTGGAGGAGTTCAAGTATCAGGAGTGAGGGACCGACGGAGCATGAGATCTATAGACGGATTGGTGCGGCGTCGGCAGTGCTGCAAACACTGTATCGGACTGCTGCGGTGAAGAGGGCGCTGAGTCGGGGGGCAAAGCTCTCCATTTACCAATGGATCTGCGTTCCCACCCTCACTTATGGTCTTGACATCTGGGTAATGACCAAAAGGACAAGATTGCAACTACAAGCGGCCTGTCTCCACTTCAACAACCAGGGCTTGACATTAACAGCTGTCAACACAACAAATGTGGGCGAATTGCAGCTTGGACAGCTAGCACAGCCCCTCCTACTGGCCACTTTGGATTAATTCGACCTTTTTAATTGCAGTTTTTTCAAACATCACCTGAAATCATAAAGCAAATCTAAATGTGACTGTGCAACACCACGCCTCCGATGAGAAACCCCTGCACACAATGCTTGCTCATTGGTCAGTTTGTGACTGATGTCAGTTCAGAAAGGCGGTCGCTCTAACAAAGCTTTAAAGCTGCTAGGATGCAGAGGAGAAAAAAATGATGATAGAATATAGAAAGGGAAGACAGAAAAAAGGCAGTGAAACCATCGACAATATCGGGATCAGCAGATATTGATTATGGTGACCGGCTCCTGATCCATGTATGTCTCTGTGTGAAGATGAGTTAAACATGGCAAAGCTTCAACCAACCCACCAAAGTTAAATAAGTAAGATGGAAAAGAAGGTTGGGATGAATTTGTTGATAGATCCAGTCCTTCAATGATTGCTTTCCTTTAAGTGATTTTTTTGACCTACAGGTTAACAGCCCACACAAAAAAAAAAAAAAAAAAACCTAATCCTGTTTTTATGGTCCACATAAACTCCCTCCAGCTGCAGCAGTGATTTATCTACTTAAACTGGATGGTGGTTAACAATATTAGCAGGTGTACAGAAGACGTCTTTGCCCACAAACTAACCTGTTTACTGCCATTTATTGTAGAGGTGAATGTGGTTGGACCTTTTTCTTTGAAACGGCTGCATTAATATAGAACCCCCTCTCACTTAATTCCCGCACATTCTCATCAGCCTCAATGTGAGAAAGTGTGCCTTTGCAGCAGGCCTGGCCCCCTCAGTGACTGGGGCATCAGGTTGTCAGTCTGGTTCAAAACATGGCTTTAAAACAGCGCTGTGGAGAAACGCCTTAAGCTCAGACCAGACTACGGCCGTTAGCACAATGGGGCTGAAGGTGAAGAAGCCTCCATCAATAAAAACAGCTTCTTCTCTTAGGTTCAAACTAGCAGCATAGTTTGCACAGTTTTCCACCATTGTTTGTTCCAACCGTGCTTCAATCCCATAAAAATGTCTCTTTGTTTTACTCAACTTTTCACCTGCTTCTTGCTCTTTGGATTATCTTCATCTGTCACCGGTCCTTTAACCCAGCGGTCCCCAACCTTTTTTGCACCACGGACCACCATATGTCAGACAATATTTTCACGGGGGGGTGATAAATACGATTATGTAAAATGATATGACTGGCATAAAATCAAACACAAACAGCATAAAAATAAAACAACAAGACGGTCCCATCTAGGCGTAATCGGAGAAAATGACAGACGAAGTGTGCTCCTGATGTCCAGTCTGCTCCGTAGCTTTGTTTTGGTCACTGTGACCGCAGCGACCCCCTTCACAAAGAAAGGATGTTATAGATAGGATGAGTCTTGAACTGAATTAACCTGTGTCAAGAGGGACAGATGCACCGACTGATGTGATTGGAGAGAATACCGCAATTTTTTATATTTTTCAATATAAAACATCACTCAAGACTCTGATCTTTGGTAAATTTTATATATATATATATATATATATATATATATATATACTTTTTTCTGTGCGCCCCGGTACCAAATGACGGACCACGGGCCGGTGGTTGGGGACTGCTGCTTTAACCCATACTGGTTATCATTTAACACCGACAGGTTCACCCATATTAGTTATCCATTAATCCATAATAATCATCAATTAACCTATTCTAATCATAAGTTAACACATACTAGTTATCCATTAACCAATACCAGTCCTTAATTAACCCATATTAGTCATCAATTAACCCACATCAGTTATCCATTAATCCATACTAATCACAAATTAACCATAATTGTTATTAATTAACCCAGACAGGTTATCATTTACCCTTATTAGTTATCCATTAACCCATAATAGTTATCAATTAACCCATACCAGTCATCAATTAGCCCATATTAATTATCAGTGAACCCATAGTAGTCATCAGTCAAGCCATACTAGTTACTATTAACCCGAACTAGGCATCGATTCACCCAAACTAGTAAACAATTAACCCATATAAGTTATGATTTAATCAGTTATCCATTAACCCATCCTGGTCACCAGTTCAATATACTACTTATCAGTTAACTAATACATGTCATCAATCATTCAATACTAGTTATTGATTAACCTATACTACTTATCAATTAACCCATATCAAATATCAATTAACCCATACTAGTTATTAGTTATCACTACTTCTTAACCAATATCAGTAATGCATTAACCCATAATAGTTATCCATTAATCCATACCAGTTATCCATCAGCCATCCATTAACCCATGCTGGTTATTAACCAATATCAGTTATCATTAAACCCATATCAGTTATCCATTCACCCATACTAGTTATTACTATTACTAGTTCTTAACCAATATCAGTAATGCGCTAACCCATAATAGTTATCAATAAACCCATAGCAGTCATCAATTAGCCCATACTAGGTATCAGTGAACCCATACTAGTAATCAGTCAAGCAATACTAGTTACTAGGGTTGTCACGACACTAAACTTTTCAAGTCGATACCGATACTAAGTAAAATATTCGATACTTGATGCCCTTTTCGATACCACAAGAATAAAAACAAAGACTCTTAAATTCAACAGAAATATTTTCATTGCTAAAAAAATACAAGAAATAAATAAAAAACAATAAGAATAATATTTTGAGGTTGTATGCTGTGCACAATATTAAGCAAGCTTGATAAAAAACTTACAAAATTAAAATTAAGTGTTCCTTCCTTGGCTATGTTTTGCAGACATAACAATGACACTGCCAAACCAGTTAAACAAAAATAATTCTCAGCAGCTGCACCAGTTACAAAAAGAAGTCTGAAACTGAAAAATGCAGAGAGTTATTCAATCACAGTGTTCAGAAAGTGCATTTTCCACTATTCTGCACTTTAGATGGCTGTATCGATACTTTTGAAAATGAGTATTGTATCCGGATACAACGTTTCAGTATCGATACTTTTTTGAGTAACGATACTTTTGACAACCCTACTAGTTACCATTAACTCGAACTAGGCATCGATTCACTCAAACTAGTAAACAGTTAACCCATATCAGTTATGATTTAATCAGTTATCCATTAACCCATCCTGGTCACCAGTTCACCATACGACTTATCAGTTAACCAATACATGTCATCAATCATTCAATACTAATTATTCATTAACTTATACTAGTTATCAGTTAACCCATATCAAATATCAATTAACCCATACTAGTTATTAGTTATTACTGGTTATTAACCAATATCAAGTTATCATTAAACCCATAGTAGTTATAGGTACACCCCTACTAGTTATCAGTTAACCCATATCAATTATTCAGGACTCATTTTGGCTACTAGTAGTAGTAAAAGTAGTAACATTCTAAATAATAGTCATGTTTTTCTGGCTGGGTCAGTCATTCTCTACAAAGCAGATTCATGTTTTAGGTCTAGTCAAAGTCCAGGCACAGAAAATAAAGTTATCAGAATGTTCTCCTGCAGATGTTATCAGGTGTGATCTAACTCATCTGACAGGGTTCATGTTCAGCAAACTGTGAAACGAACCACCCTTTAGGACATCCATACATGTTTTAAAGTTATTGTTCATAGCTCAGACTGAATTCCTCTTTTCTCACGTTGATGTTCCTGCAGGAAACTTTATCAGCTCATTGTTTCAGGTCACCTGTACTGTTGTTTCTCCTCACGCTACAGAAGAAAGGATCAGTGGCTCTTACCTCGGCGTTGAAATCTCTTTCATCCTCCGCCCCACGCGCTGCAGCGCACAGCCACAGCGCGAGCAGGGTCCGTCTCCAGAGCAACCAGAGGCAGCTGTCTTGTGAGGAGGCGGCCATAGTCCGGGCGGGTTTCTAGAAAGATAAGTGATGTATCTGTTGGGCTCAGTGTCAGAGTGGAGGTTGTTTTTATTTCCTTTCCTCTGTCCTTAGTGTCCTGTCCTCTGTCTCTATCCTGAGAGGTAGCGCAGTCGTGGGTCTGGACAGCTGCACCTTCTCTGCTGTTATCTGTAAAAGGACACGAGCACGTGAGCCCGTCCCATTTAAGCCACTTCAAAGTGACCGCTTGGGTCGTGTTTTAGTTCTCTTTCATCCTCAAACTCCCCCAGCCACAAACAGAAATCAGCTGATATGATCCAGTAACCTCGTGATCATCGAGTGCAGCCGAACTGAAGTTATTTGGATAAAGTTCAAACTGACCGCTGCGCTCATCGGTTCCTTCGGTTTAATAAATTAATTATCTATTTAATTTATCGCGGTTCGCGAAAAAAAAAAAAAAGTTGGAAGCTTTCCCGGTTCTCTAACTCTGTTCGGTTTTCCCTTCTCCTCCTGGACAGTCCGCTGTCACCCTGCCGGCGCCGGTGGGACAATGAGGCGCGCGGCGCACCGAGTGAGGGAAGGAGGGAGATATTTTGATGACGTTTTCTAGATTTTCAAAATAAAAGA